GCCGCTCATGTGGGATACTGTCAAATGCCTTGGCAAAATCGAGAGACACTGCATCTACTGGCTCCCTTTCGTCCAGCAGGCGGGTCCATTCATTCAGAGTAGACAAAAGGTTTGTGGTGCAGGAACTCCCAGCAATAAAGCCATGTTAACAGTCTGATAGGAGATTATTAGCAGTCAAATGATCTATCAATCGATCCCTCACAACAGATTCCATTACCTTGCAAACGACACTTGTCAAACTGACAGGGCGATAGTTGCCCGGGCAGCTTTTGTCACCTTTTTTGAATAATGGTGTCACTTGAGCTAATTTCCAGTCAGCCGGCAAGATCCCTTCGTTCAAAGTTTTGCGAAAAAATGACGTCAAAGGGCCGGCTAAGACTGTTGTTAACTCTTTGAGTGATCTGGGGTGCAAGCCGTCTGTTCCACATGACATGTTTGGATTTACAGCGATAAGGCGCTTTAGAACATCTTCTTCTTGTATTTCAAAACTTGTTAATTTACAGCCGACTGGGCGCTCCTCAATATCCGGAATACTGTTCAAGTCCTCTTCAGTGAATACGCTACTGAAGAAATGATTAAGAACGTTAGCCTTGCCCTCATCAGAGGATATCTCTCGTTGATCTACTTTCAAATCAGAAATACTGTTCATACCTAAAATGTCCCTCTTTCCTGCGCCGTTACCTCAACCATCTCTCTTTTCTGCAACGCTACCTCACCCGTCCCTTTTCCTAGGCCGCTACCTCACCCGTCCCTTTTCCTGGGCCACTACCCCACCCGTCACTTTTCCTGGGCAGCTACCTCATCCAAATCCCTTTCCTGTGCCGCTACCTTATACCCGTCCCTTTCTTGTGCCGCTACCTCACCAGTCCCTTTTCCTGGGCCGCTACCTCCACCACCTCTCTTTTCATGTGCCGCTACCTCATCCAAATCCCTATCCTGTGCCGCTACCTCATCCAAATCCCTTTCCTGTGCCGCTACCTCATCCAAATCCCTTTCCTGTGCCGCTACCTTACCCGTCCCTTTCCCGCGCCGCTATACCACACCAGTCCCTTTTCCTGGGCCACTACCTCACTCGTTTTTTCCTCGGCCGCTGAATTCCTACACACTTATCCCCTGCGGGATATTGAGCTTTCCAATGAAGCAAACATGGAGCTTCCCATCAATGAGCCCTTGCAGCTCAATTTTTCGTATCGAAAACATCAGAATTAAAAATCTCTTCTAAAACAATGAGAAGAACGAAGCAGAGCAAACTTAACTCTTAAATATCAAAATTAGACTTGAATAACTCTTACTCAAGATTGTAAGGAATTAAAACCAAGCAGCTGATCAATAACTAAATTCGTTTTCAACAGCCAAAATAGAAGTGAAAAGAAGAAAGTGAAGCCAATAAGCTCATCAATCATAAATTTGATTTAAAAAGTCCTCATAAAAAATTCTGAAGCTACCACGTAGCCTCGAGCAGCATGGCGGCGATCAGAGCGAAGAGGCTAGAACGACCCGGTCCGGTGATCCCGACCTTAGAAAAAAGTTCTTTTTTCGAATGAACTAATCGAATCGATAGAGAATTGCCCAAACGTCAAAAATTTACCGTGAAGTGGCAAAAACTGAACTGAAGACTCAGATAGACATAAACATTAGTAAACGCGAAGAAGTACAAGCTAGAGTTGCGATTGGAGCTCGATTGACGAAAACTGCACACTGATTTTAAGACAACATTGCGATGATCATAATTGAGTTCGATGATGTTTGTCAGGGAAGGTCTGCATTTGTGATCAGCAGTTTTTTATCAAATTTAGTAAGTTGCTGTAGAATTTAGGATAGCGTGATTGCGACAGTTAATCCGGTAGCCTATGAGCGACGTTTTACATTGGAGCTTACTTAAGTATCATGGATACGGACAAAAATTTGTTGCCTTCCTCCTACGTAGCCCGTTTACTTACAGCTCGGTCTCTACCTACAGCTACACCCTAACATTCGGAAGTGGCACCTTTATCTATCTATAGCCCATTCGCAGGGAGGCAGGACAGATTGTTGTGGTGAGTAATGCCTATCGCTTGAGCTAGCGGCGGGGATAGGCGATAGTTCGCTTCCCCCGCTGGGGGGTGGGGGGTTTCAGAAGTGGCTACTTCGTCAGAAGTCCCAGCTCGGGATTCGAATCCTCGACCTCCAGATCCATCCCACTAGCTCAAGCCGACGCATTTAACCACTAAACCAAACTGTCCCATGACTGAAAAAGTTGGAACTTATATTTGAATTGCGTAACGTCTCCAAAAAAAGGTATGAAGTAATTTCGAACGTAGGATAATAATAATAAATAATAATAATAATAATAATAATAATATAATAATAATAATAATAGTAATAATAATAAGCCCCTAAAGCGCCGGTTTCCTGAAAGCATTATTTGAAAGAAACTTAAATTAAAAATTATAACAAAAATATGAAATTTTCAATATGAAAAATGGAAATATATTTAGTTTTTAATTAAAAGCTGATTTATAAATGTCACTATTTACGATAGTCCGCCATCTTGGATTTCTCGCCCAACTGGACGCTTTTGACTCGCCTACTAAGCAAGCGGGGGGCAGGGGGCCGAGATGGCAACGCCCTCGAGCTGGTATCTTGGCTACCAAAAATTGACGGACTCGTCGCAAGTATTCCCGATGAGTAAAACGCCTTCTGGAGGCCGTTGCTTCAATTTGTTCTAAATTTCTGAGGACTCTACACGCCTAAAATAGTGTGAGTGTAAGTGCCTCATTGGCAAGCGTTTCATGGGCCAGCTGAGCACATACTGGTAACCTGACAATGGCTTCCCTGAAATAATGTAGGGGCTATTGTGCTAGTCGTCAATTTGAATGTTAAATTCAAAGAACATTCTAACTTTGGATACTTTGATTTAGCTATCACTGGAAATCCTCAATAAATATGTAATAAGTTAACTATCTCGCAGAAATTTCAATGCAAAATCTTCATAATCTACATTAAATAATACACTGCCATCGTAGAGCCTTTAAATGCAGGGGCGAGAGGCATAATAAAATCTACGGAATTTGTTCTTAACCTTTAACTATAAAATCTCCTCGGCTTGGCAGGGTCGGCTGCATGACTTCGATATAAGATTGATATCGAATCAGAATAAATTTCAGAGACATGGTAGCCAAGTTTAAGGCAAGTAATTTAAGTCACTAATTTCCAGACGAGAATGATAAAGTGGCAAATAAAAAGGACATTGTCCCGAATAAACAGCAATGACTGGCATCTCTCATTGCACATTTCACCACCTACGCTCAATTCCCTGCTCTCAACTACATAAATGGAAACCATGGTCCATGATAAGCATGGCAATTATATTAATTAAAATAATGATTTACACTCCTGCATCACTCAACTTACATAATAAACATTCAATTGCCGCATAATACAAATAACAACAGATAGTAATTCTATATAATACAGTAATAGCAACACGATGGGACATATGTAGCAAATCAATTATTAAATAGTCGTTTGTAAAAAAATATTTGAGGAATGATTCATACTCCTTATCTGCATCGTCAGAAACACATCCAACGATTCATACACAAATTTAAAATAAAATAATACAATTAGCGTGACCGCATCTAAAGACTGCAATGCTAAATCTTTATTGAATAAGGATTTTTCCAAAGATTTCATGACGGTGAGCCCGTACTGACTGTAAGCAACGAAAGGATTAAATCATTATTAACTTCTCGCGCGATCGTGATAGAACTTTGAGTCCTCGTGGCTTCACTGCAGCCATCTTCAGTCCGCAGGACTTAGTGGTCAACTGAACGGGATCCAGTGAAGAGCTAAACAATAGAGAGCATTACAATATTGTCTGAGGGTTAAGGGTTACTTTTGCCACCCACATTTAATTCTTTCTACTCAATTTGGGAGAGTATATTGGGTATATTTATTATATAGTATATTTTGGGAGAGTATATTCAAAATTATAATGTGATCCATCAAGGTATCCTCAATTAGGATTTGAATGAGGCAGATGGAAATAAAAGAATAGGCGATATAAACATTAAAACATGGTCGGCTAAAAAGAACAGTTAACTTATCTGGAGGCAAGCAATATTAAGCACACGTGACCTGCTTGATGATTGCGGCCACGGGACGAACTGGGAGACCATGGCACGTGGTGATGACGAGGTGTCAGGAGCACGTGGCGGTGACGTGGTGTCAGGAGCACGTGGTGATGACGAGGTGTTAGGAGCACGTGGTGATGACGAGGTGTCAGGAGCACGTGGTGATGACGAGGTGTCAGGAGCACGTGGTGATGACGAGGTGTCACTTGTCAGGAACACGTGGTGTTCAATTGTTCCAGAAACCGTTGGAGGGCCAAACCCTGGAGCCTAAATCAGAAAGGAAGGAACTGTACTGCTGGAGTCTTCCATACCAAAGACAAACGAGTTAATCGGCTGTCAGCTCTACGCTCTAGCGGCCAATCCAGCCTCTATTCACAGAAAAAAATTACGACCAAATAAATTGAACAAAGACTGACAAACCTCAAAGGGAGAAAGTCGGTCATGTTGATAAATGGGTTTAGTTTACAAAAAGCGCAATTTATTTTTAAGCATGAAAATTTCGTTTGAATTTATTAATTGAAGTTTGGAATGTTAGAGACCGAAAGATTGCACACGTGCAACCGATTCAACGCTCGCAATTAATTAAACTCTTTAATAATCTCTGTTGTAGGAAATAGAATCGGATTAGTAAATAAGTAGGCATGTGTTCTTCAATTTTATAATTTTTAACGGTTCAAAAATAATGTGAGTGTACTATAAATCAGTTGAAAGACAAAATTGGCAAGATTTTATTTGTTTACATCAATAAATGATCGACAGATTCTAAGAAGTAAACGATACTATTTTAAAAAAGTGCAGTACGAGATGAGCATGATAGGTACATTAGAATTTTGAACTAATGGTTTAGCGGGTGGCTCGTAGCCTTGTAAACAACATAATCCGTTCTCCGTTCCGTTGAGTTAAATTAGGCTTGCTAGTGACATCGGTAGGGTCGTAGGCATAGTGGCTCGTAGGGACATCGGTGCTCTGACGCTCGGAGAGGTTTCTCATAGTAACCGGGCCAGTATATTTTTCATGAATTGGATTGTTTATTAAAAACTAAATTGAATATTCCATCACCGGCATCACGAGCGACATCCAATATCCAAAGGAACGAGTCAGCTGCTAAGAAAGAATGAAACTGCAAGAGCAAGTCTGCGAGTACCTACCCGGGCTACCCCAATAAATTTGAGCACTCCAAAGTCCAAGTGTTACTACTTACTACCTACTTAAAAGTGCGGCCATCTGGCGTCTGGCGGCCCCTTCAACCCGCGGCCCGCCAATAACAACGAAATTGAGTGTTCAAAAAACGTTTATCAATATGATTGAGTCTTCCCCTGAAGTAAGCAATCAAATGAGTCTATTCCTAATTTGCCTATAATATAAGTCTTTAATATTAATATTATTAGCATCAAAATAACTTTATTAGATTGTTCTAAATTGTTTTCTAATTCAAATAATAAAAATTGTCCATGTTATCATGTTATGCTGTTAATAGCTAGTTTATATTATATTTACTCTTAGTCTTATCAGTGACAGTATGATCTTGTATTTCCTAGACTCAAATAATGTAATACCGTATATAAATTGTTACATAAAATCATAAATTAAATGTTATAAACATTTCATTTATAGAAGGTTGTAAACATAGCAAAGAAGAACATTTTTTTGTTGCTCTTCATCCAGTTCATTTTCTGTACCTATCCTATGAATAGACAACAGACTAGGCCTAGTTTCACTAGTAAGTATCTTGGATACCACTACTAGCACTATCTTAAGTAAGAAATTGATTAAAATGTTGTAGTTAGCTTTGCTAAGGTGAGGAAATGTAAAATGAACTGATTCTAAAAAATCTGGGGTTTGCCACTGCCCACCATGGCTAAACCATTTGGTGAAATTGTAAATTGGTAAAATTTGAAGAATAATTATGATGTTAATTTGTTATTTTTTCCAGCACATCTGTGGCATTTCAAGAAGGAGACACAGCAGAACATTTTCTTCCGGGTCTGAGACATCAGACCATTTCCTCTCCATCAATGAACGACCTGTGGATGATATATCACTTGATTTCTTTTATAAACCTCACACCATTACATTACTATTAGTTACAATTGCGGGTCTTTTATATATTTGTTTTTTAAGGTGAGAATTAGTTTTTTATGTACTGTAGATGATTGAGGAATTGCATACCAGTACATATTTATAATTGTGAGTTGTGACCGTCTGTGACTCATTGACTCGCAATCTGCCAAGTGCCAGCTTGCCTGATTGCAGAGTTGAAAACAACACAGAAGTTGCTCATTACTCATTAGTAGTGACTAAGCTTTTAAAAAATTTTTATTCACAGGCAAATGTTATCATTACATTATTTTATTTATATACATTGTTTTTATTGGAGGGTGTCAAGGTGCTGGTGGCAGGTCAGGTATAGTACAGATATATTTAGTTTCCAAGCCACATGTTGTGACAGAATCTTTCTTGCCTAGATGCCATTTAATTTTTTTATTATCACACATTTAATATTAACAAATTGCAAAGGATATTTTAATAGAAAGTTGCGAATTCTTAATCTTTGAATGTGGGACCTTCTCTTCATTTAGGATTACTTAGGACATTCAGGTTACTTAGGAGTCATTACTAATATTTATATTGCTAACCCACATATTCCATAATTAATTTGGAATGTATTTATTATGAAGTGAAAATGTATTTGTTAGTGTTGTAAGAAGATACCATTATATGCATGTTTGTTTTAGAATTGGTAACATATTGAGTTGGCATAAATTTCATTCTAATGATGAATAGGTATATGTTATAAATATATATAAACATATATTCAATGACTACCGTACCATGATTTATTCAATTCTTATCTGCATTTAAATTATTACAGAGATGAAACAGTTAGCATTCAAGCAAACATTCAAGTGGGCATCCAGGCAGCCATTTTCTTCTTCTTGATCATCTCGGTATTGGCCTTTCCCAATGGCCCATTCACTCGTCCTCATCCTGCCGTTTGGCGCTGTGTCTTTGGCCTCTCTGTGCTCTACATGATACTCCTCATATTTCTTCTATTCCAGGTATGCAATTTTTATTAACAAGTAGGTGACATTAATCCACTTAACATCTTTGAAGATAATTGTTCATATGTCTCCAAGCTTGAATTTTACAAAGATGCTATTTTTTGTGGTATAAAAGAAAATATTATGGCATCATTCTTATTTTTTTATGGTATTCCTACAAGTTTGATATTCAGTGCTCTTACCAGCATCAGCAGTTTCGAGTCATTTCACACTAAAATGTTAGTGTGAAAAATGTTCTGCTATCAAGTTCTTTAATATTCTTGCATCAAAAATTTTGTATATCTGGTTCATACTCTTGGATGTAAGTATATATTCTTCAACCATTGTCATGCAGAAGTTGTTATTGCATAGTTTTGTTCATTGATTATGTATCTTGTTCAGTGAAAAACCAGTGCCTTCCTATATCACCTTGATAAGAAGCTCACTTTGAAATTGATTATTGCTTTAAAACTTACACTGCATATGCAATTCCATTTTCCAGGACTACCAAACTGTTCGTGGCATTTTCGAGTGGTTTTTTCCTGAGCTGAAAAATTTCACTATTGACATGGATAAGGTGATGTATTATTAATATCTATTATCATATCATTTCATTAGTATTACTCTCTTGATAATGGGTTTAAGACCAATATATACATGTAGAGTTTCATAAGATGTTTAGTTACTAGGTACTACATTGTACCAGTCTAATTGGAGTTTGTATATACTGGTCTAATTTCATAATTGTGTTGCCATATGATGTGTGTGAAATATTTTGTGTCCTGAAAATCTACCCTGTGATTTACAGAATATTTTGATTTACACAATTTTTGAGCTCAACTAGTGGTTTATACACATAAAGTTTTATAATTTTATACCGTTTGCTTACTGATGAATTTCAAACTTGAAAAATGATTCCAAAACATATTTACAGGGCGAGTGGGGGGAGAAGTGCGATGACTTTTCTCTACAGCGGCTGTGGGAGAGTGTGGACTTCTTCTGCTTTGCTCACTTTGCTGGCTGGGCCATGAAGACGCTGCTGGTGCGCCACTACGGCATCCTATGGACCATCTCCATTATGTGGGAGATAACTGAGGTAAAACTTGTCTGCAACCTGTTCATCATTTAAGGTCAAACATTCTTTGCATTCATTGTTGCTTATTAGGCTTTTTCCTCTCTTACCTTTTGTATGTTTTCTTTCTAAACATGTTTTTTTGGCGTTTCAGTAATATACATATATTCATTACTGAAGAGACATATATTGTATATTCTTGTTCAAAATTTTCTATTACTAGGAGACAAGCAGGACGTAGCTCAGAATACATAATTTTCGGGCTGCTTTAAGATTGCATTCAGAGTCATGAATGACAAAGGAAGAGATGAGTAGTTTGAGTCTTAATATTAGAGTTCAACTTTTGACATGCTCATTACCATGTCATTTTGACATGAGCATGTCAAACACTTACCATTTGACATGATTATTTAGTGTATTTACAGTGTGGGGAAATAAATATTCGTACACTTGAAAAATCATATTTTAATGTATGTAAGTGCACAAACTTAACAGGAAAAGTGATTTAAATTGTGTATAGAGACGCATAGTATTCAAAAAATACTATCAAAAGAAATTAAATCTCAATGCAACAAGGTGACTCTCGGAGTCGGTGTAGGCCACCATCAGAGGCGTTAAGGTCGGGGCCCTGATCATTGACATGAAACCATTCCCTGTTTTTAATTAATAAAATTAATTCCTTTTTGTTGGAATGGTGAGTGTGGGAGGCCTTATTATTTAAAAAAAAATATATTTGTATGGATTTATGCCTAAGCATCAACGGATTGGAGTGGCTTGTACTTTCAATTATATTATTGTATTTATCCATTTAGTTTTATGGGCACTACAAAAGACTTTTTTTTATTTGATGCGACAGTAGAGTAAGCTCTTAAGTTGATGCATTCACTGTAGGTATTCATTAATGATTTATTTATTGTCTTACATTAATAATATAGGTTACAGTGTATGTTTGCCCTGTAATATGTAAATGGCCAGGGGAAAGGATCATGTCCAATGATCACTATTTCCAGCTATATTGATATGCATGATGGTGAAGTGATGCACATGATGGTGGATGGTGATGCACATGATGGTTAAATAACTATCATTTCAATTCAATGATAATTGAAGCAATTATTCTATGATGTAAATGTACACGGATAATATATATTCTCTGGAAAATAGTTACTCTGCTTAGTCTGTTATTTATTATATGTTGGTATATATTAGAGCTTGAATATTGATTTTAAGCAAATGGTAATGGTGCTCAGGGACATCCGGAGCGCGTCTGGCAAGCTTAAGCGCGCCGTGCTGCAGTTCACGCCTGAGTCATGGACGGCGATGCGCTGGCTGGACCCGAGCAACACTGCCATGCGCACCGTCGCCGTGTGTCAGCTCATCGTCTTCTGGCAGCTCTCTGAACTGAACACTTTCTTCCTCAAGCATATCTTCCAGATGCCGCCTAACCATCCTATTGTCTTCATTAGGATCCTGCTACTGGGGGCCATCTCTGCACCCAGCATCAGGTCCGTGACTTGGACGCCTCTACTGGAACACTGTTACAGGCTACTTAGGCCGCCTCAACTGGAACACAGTTACAGGCTACTTATTCAACTGGAACACAGTTACAGGCTACTTAGGCCGCCTCTACTGACCTTTAGCCATTTTTGAGACCTTCTTGTACTACGGGCAGTTGCAGAATGATCTGGTAGTTGCAAAATACGTTAACTATGGTTACTGATTACATTACTGGAACGTGCTACATGTTTCTAGTACATTCTGGAATGTTCTGGTGTGAAATATTGGTCAAAAGATGTTTTGTACGAATACTTTTTTGACCCGAAGAAGTTAACATGTTGCATTAATTTTTGTTGCATTGAGATTTAATTTCTATTGATGCTATTTTTTGAATACAATGCGCCTCTATACATAATATAAATCACTTCTCCTGTTCAGTTTGTGTACTTACATACATTAAAATACGATTTTTCAAGTGTACGAATATTTATTTCCCCCCACTGTATGTCTGCTGAACTGAATTTCTATTTTTTGCTATCCAATTATCTTGACATCCTATGAGGTTAGGTGATCTGGATTCTTGCTCCACTGGGCAAAACAAGTTAGCAATCACACCCATAATATCCGTATGTTTCAATTGATTTTTACCACGGTAATGCACAATCGTCTTTGCTGCTATCATATTGATTTTCTTAATAATGTTATGTAATTAGAGAGACTTGTTCAATCAACCACTGGCAAAAAATACATACGATGCTAATGTTGGAGATCCAAAATAAATTGCCCCAATTTCCGCACTGGGCCAGGTAAAATAAATTGATTGGATTTTTAAGTATTTTACGTTAAATTTTGTTGTGCAGTTGTGCTTCTGTCATCTGCTGCCAAACTTCAAGGAGTGTTGGTGGGATTCATTCATCCTGGACGTGTTGCTGTGCAACGGAGCCGGCATTTGGTTTGGCATGCAGTTCTGTCACTGGATGGAGATGCGCTATTACAGCTGGGAGAGCATCAAGTTAGTCGGCATGCAACTTGCAATTGATTGCAAGTTGCAATAAATTTACTGCAATTTATTTATTTTATATATGTTCTGAAGAATGGGGCTGATATTAGTCTTGCAGTTAACTGAAGCCATCATTAAATGTAATTAGTCTTTAAATATAAAAATTGTATAATTTTCTATAAAGCATAGCTGTGAATTTATTCATCTGAGGATAAGGTAATAAATCCATTATTATTAAGAAAAAAATTGGGTGTTTTAAACTGAAATGAACAGCTAGGCAGTGTTGAAATATAATTAAGTGATTAATTTTTAAAATGTTGACTCGAGGTTACTATTTAGCTATGTGACAGTAGCATGGAATAAGTTATTGCACAACTATTTTGATCTCAAATGATTTTTCCTTTTTGACGTGAAATGTATGAAATATGCTCATTTTCACTTTGACTTCACTCATGCATGATCCGCCCAACTGGCTGTTATTGTTATTGCATGCTGATGATAAACAAAACTCCGAATCTGCAGATTTGGGTAAAATATTTACGTTTTTTCATATCTAATTATGTAATCATTGCTATAAGACAGTATCGGTAATGCTTGGGTCGCTTCGGTATTATACGAGTTTTTATTGGATTTTTTTATTATTAATAATATTGTTGGATCTCTTTATTATTGATAATATTGTTGGATCTCATTATTAATGTTGTTTGATCTCTTGTGCGTAGTTATGCCGAATTACGATATTACAGCTTAATTTAGGATAAACTTAGTTATGCAATTCTATGTAGTTTGTTGTTGGCATGATGGGCTAAGAATGAGGACTTGGTTTCATGAATACACCTCGTGGCTCAGAATTTGATTGGAATCATATTACATAAACTGTGATGTAGTAGAACGCATTGAGATTAAATTATGTTGTTAACTTATTTAAAAATGTTCGATCAAGTCCGTGATTGAATAATAAGTTGCTAATCCAAAAAAAAACTTTTAAGATATAAAACTGAGAAAACGTTGCCCTTTTCCTTGAACTTGTAATATTTGTAATATTTGTAATATTTGTGTTAACTGAGCATCCACGTGGGAAGGTTGTGTGGTGCCTAAGAGCTCTCTAAGTGCTTGTTGTGTGCTCTGTAGCCTTGCACGGACGTTGCCCCCATTCTCTCTTCTCGCTCATGCTGACGCAGCAATTTTATTATTGGCACGTCTTTCTACTGCTAGAACAGGCTACTTAGGCCGCCTCAACTGGAACACAGTTACAGGCTACTTAGGCCGCCTCAACTGGAACACAGTTACAGGCTACTTAGGCCGCCTCAAACTAGACAAAAAAAATTGAATATAATTTCTGAAGTACAAATCTAGATTTTTTTTATGATGTGTTTTTGTACGAGTATAACCATGGAACCAAAACTGCTGGAAAACGCCACTTTACTCCTAATATTTGTGTTAACTCCAGATTTTATTTTCAGGCAATACTACAGCTACGTGACAGACCCGCGCATCAAGCGAGTGGGCACTCAGGCTTGGGTGTACGGTCTGTGCATGTCCGTGGAGGCGATCATCTGCTTCAAGTTCGGCCGGGAGCTTTTCCTGCAGACGCAGCCACAGAAGGTGCTCCTGTGGCTGGGCATCATGCTGCTGGGGTCTGTTCTCTGCATCTACCTCTGCGTTGAGCACCAAAAATGGACACGCAAGAAGCGGGGGCAAAAGGTGCGTGTTAGTCCTGCATTCTTCATATTATATTCTCATAATTAGGTTTAATATCCACAAATACGGGAATGACATATCATTCCGGCTGCTATGACCATTGTATGCATAGAATTAGGATTACAATTAGATCTGTGAATAAATTGAATCTATGAATTTGATTTGATTCTAGTTTGATTGCTATTTAAAATAAAAATTTTCTTATAGCTTGTGGGGATTTAAGTTGAATTGAGGAACAATGTTTTAATGCACTTATTTTCTGGGAAAGTCACGCATTTTTCAGTGCATGTTAGTTTTAAACCACCTGTTAACGTTGCAAACTTTGCAAATAGCTAAAATGACTGACTTTGTGGATAATTTCAACGCTTGACGATTTATTAGCTCGCAAACACCGAGTTCCATACAATGAAAACATCCTGAGTACACTTTAATGTATTTGATTCTATTCTGTCTTCTGAAATCAAAGCCGCATTGTACTACTGTTGCCGTCCACACACTATAAACTGTAATGTGCGGAATATCATGCACCAACCGGCCAAGGGATAAGTTGTTATTTCACTATAGTCATATTATTAACTTGCTTTGTAATATGACTAGTTTTTATCTTATTCGGAAAAATTTTCTAAGCGAATCTTTTCTGGATTCTGATTTTGAACCGCCATAGAAAATGAATTTAATTTTTGTATGATTGACTATTGCAGGCAGCAGCCCTTTATGTTTATGGATGATAGTGTAGAAACCATAAACTCTTGTTTCGCAATACAGACTACAGTGTAGGTATATGACTCTTTCATCATTAATTGTGACCAAAATGTTGTAATTTTCATCCCTGTGCTCAGGAGCGCCACAGCCGCGCGCACCACAACACTGGCGGCAGGAGCCGTGCGATGGACAGCTCGAGCCCCTCAGCGTCGCCTCGCAAGTCCGTCACGCTCAGCACGCCAGACTCTGAAGCTGACAAACATTTCCCTGACCTCGAGGATGACGAAGATGTGACGAGACGACGCAATGCAGACACTCGTTTCAGGCGACGTCGAGACGTGCAGTCGAGAGGCAGCCTCAGCGGGATTATGGCTGACGATGAGTCAGAAGATGCTGATGATGACATCCCCATCTCTGCACTTCTAAAAAATAAGAAAGTTACTTTACATGTATTTAACCTGCCAAACTAATTTTAGATTCACCCAAATTGAGGCAAGCGGTGCAATGTTCGCGGTCTTCATTGAATTTTGGCATGGTTAGCTTTTCACTCGCGTCGACGATGCTCCCTAGCGACACAGGGTTTGGATACTGCAAGATTGGAGCGCCATCAAGTTTTGCATTTATAAAGTATATAATAGGCACTGAAGGTTCAGTAGAGTTTGTAAGTATAGGATAGACATGAGCCTTTTAGTTTCATACACATAATGGCGTATGGAACCCTTTGCAGAGAAAGGTCGAGTGAGAGGCAGTGGGCAGTTCCGTGACTGTTTTTAGTTTTGGACGCCTGAGGAATTCGGTAGTTACTTCTAGGTTATCTGTACCTGCCGGACCATCCACGAGGATGGTTGTTTTTATAAGGATTAAATCGTCTACTGAATTACAAGTTCTTCCTGGGTTGTTGAAGTTGATTTATATTCGCTGATTCTTCTTGCTTCCAGTTGCTCTCTCTCTCTTAAGTGATTTTTCGCGTTTTATTGTGTATTTGCTCAGTGTTGATAGTTCTCCTAAATATAGGACCACTTCCTTTTCTCATAGATTTTATCATTTACTGTGAAGCTTTACTGACTATCCTTCATTGTGTATCTGCTATTAATCACAATATCAATATCGTATTGAAGGTCTTATCTGGCCAAGCAAGGAAGAACGAAATTCTGAACTAGCTCTTGTGATGCGGTCTTGTCTTGCATAATATCTTTCATTTCATGTAATGAGTGATGGGCATCGAAGCTCCTGTTTGCTGTAATGTTTTACCTACCGTACCTTGTATAACTTGCAACTATACTACTTCCCAGCATAGCTTAGCGTTCACTCATTGACAAAGATCTTTTACAGTGTCCAAACACAGGTATTGGAAAGAGTTGGATCTCTTCCAATGCACCTTTATTAGAAGATAATTCAGCACGCAGCCTGTATTGCAGTTCACTTAAGGTTAGACATGAAGACGCACAAGGCTCTAGGGTCAGCCGCCCGTCGTATGTCAACACTTTCGCGGTACTTCTTTGATTGAGAGATAGAAAATTAAATGACTGAGAATTATGTTCAAGATATTTCTTTAAAGTAGTGGATTATTTGAATAGGTTTGAATTTTATTAATGCTCGGAAATTGAAATTCCTTGCATTTACGTAAACACGAATTACGTCATGTATTGCAAAACTACCAGTCCAAGTCTAGGGATATGAGTAATGCTAGAGCAATATGGTAGTGCTACGTAGTAACCTTGTATTCTGTACCACCAGAAAACTTCATTACTTCGCAGTTTATCTCTAAATTCATTGTTTTGACGCTTCACATGGTTTAATGAATGATTAAACGAATCGTTCTTGATGATAATTGCACCAAAGTGCTTCAATGAATGCAATCGATGAGCAATCAATTGGGACAATCCGATCCGAGCTGGTTTGAGAATTTTTTTTATACTGATACTGTTTGATTTACTAAGTGCTGTTGTGTAATGTGTTGATAAGTGAATAGACTAAGATCTAAAGTCAGAATTGAGATCATATGCGACCTCCATTCGTGTGAAGATATTGAGCTAGACTTTGGTGCTTTATACTAAAGAGCTAGACATCGCTACTCGACCTGTGAGTTGAGGCATATTGATGTGTTACTCGACCTCCTTCCTCATCCATACTTCCTGTGCACTTCGATCGCACTCTTTTCCATCTTCTGTGTAAATTTCACGCAACTATAGCTCTAAAATAAGAATATGTATTAACTAAGAGCAATGTTTTCAGTAGCACGCAGTAGAATTTCTGAAAAATTAATCCATTTTGATCTTAGCGTTATGGATTTCTTATAATAATGGTGTGCCTTTTTGCTGTAGAGAAACCTACATATTATTAGGCAATATTCTTTATAAACTAACCAATATTTGTGTTCTACAAACGATAATTATTGATTGTAGCTTTCGGATTATGAGGAAGCCTCTTATTTCAATTACGAATGTTTCTCTTCTTCACCATTAATGATTATATTCAAATGCCATGAGCTGAGTTGTGTTAACAGATCACTGTACGTCCGAGTAGAATTGCTTAACAAATGCTACGTTGTTCTTCTGCTTTGATTTGTGCCAATTAACTTTCATTGTTTTTATATGTGCGCTATTAAACGCAAGCATATCTCATGTGGTCGTACGAGCGTGCTGATAATCGAGCTTATATTAGATTTATGTCTTTACGGTTCAACGATGAAACTTGCAGTCGTCACAAACGTTTCCATGTAAATCGTAGGTAAAGGTAAATAAATCGTTTCCAGGTAAATCGTCATAGGTAAATTCTATGATCGTATAGGAATAATCAGCTCGTTAAATTGAGCCGCAGTTCTGCCCTGCATTTACATTGCGTTCTCATCGTGTGCAAATAAATGTTATCTAGAATATAAGATTAGAGATTCTGTAGCTCCTGCACCAATTGCTTGTTGATATCTAATGAGTTTATTGCCTGTTATTCAAACTGTGGTCAATGTGATCATGTCTATAGCTAGCATTTAGATAGAGTATTGAAGTGTTAGTAGTTTAAGTTACCAGTAACTACAATGCTTTTCACGAGCTATAGTGAACTATAAAATTTACACATTATTTTTTGACTTGGCACCCATGAAGCGATCTCAGAGAAGCGGGCTACAGTCGTCGGCAACTGTACGGACGCACTATCAATTTAAAGCAAACATTCAATTCATTTTACTTTCAGATTTGAATCTAAATTTCCTTTATATTTTGTATTAAATGAATTTCTCAGCAACTTATTGTATGTAATTATTGAACGTAAATGTAAGAGGCAAATCATTGCGTAATGTGGTCCTCGTCAGAGCTGACTGGCCGCAGAGTCATGATGCTAATTTACTGTTTAGAAATTTCAATTATGGATCACTGTCCTCTGTCGATTTTATATTCAAAGTTTCTCGTTGTTATCGCGGTCAACAATGATCAGAGTTCATTAGTCGGTGTGATGGAAAACTTTCTACTCTCACGTCACTTTTAACAACTCTCTTTACTCACGCATGTCAATCGATCAGACCTGCTGTTAATTTCCATTTAAATTTTCTAACGAAAATATACTTAAACCATCGCTGCGCTGATTGCATGAAGAAAGATTTTACTTAACTGCTTGAAGCCCAGTGATGTATCGCCAGATAAAGCAACCCTTTCTTCAGATGCCTTTCGTGAAAATACTAACTTATACTACTTATTACTCATCAGGGGGGGCTTCTCGCGCGTGTCTGTGCTCGTCAGAAGTCCTATGGGATTTCGAGCTCCTAGGGGGATTGTTCCTGAGCGCCCCACCGCTGAGCTCGCGGTGTCTGACTGCAGGTCTCAGTTGTGGGGTTAAGTTATTATGTAGGTAGGATTCCTTACATTTCCCTTCTCTGTCTCTCTCGTGCGGGCGGCCGACGTCCCGTGTAAGCGACCTCTTGTTCGAGTGTCTTCGTTTCTGTTACTTTTCACTTGTCCCTCCTTGTCTCTTCGTCTCTTTGAGATGCTAACGCTGCTTCTTTCGAGCCAGCTTCAGCGGGCTGGACATCTGAGACCTTCCGCCCCTTGTGGGTGATGATTAATTTGAGATTTTTAGTAATTGAGACTTTCCGCCTCGCTGGCGACGTTATCTTTTGACCTCCGGTGCGAAATACGCTTGAACCATTCTACTACTGCTACTTCATACTACTTAATGTAATTATGATACGGATGATCTTATTGTTAATACCTTCTTGTTGGCCTCGGGAAAAATTTTCGTCTTTGTTTTTTCACGGAAATGTTGCCGTCATTACGTGACACGCGAACCCGCCTACGCATAGACTGTTAATTTTTTTACTATCATTCTGTCACGGAGGACACTATTTTTACTTCTGTGAAATTATTTTGTAGTTTTCTAGAAATTCTCTCCACCAATGATCTCATCTTTGCGATGCAAAAGATTCACATTGAACAAGCCTCTTTTCAATAAGAATTTACGTATGAATCTATTTGAGCCAACTATTTTGTGAATGTCATCATTCTGTTGCACGCAACAGTTCTTCAGTTCGGTTAATATTTGGTAGAATTATGCCACAGGATATCGATACGGCCGTTTACTTTCGACGGTTAAATTGTCGCGCGATTTTTTGCGCTCCTGCCTTATCGCTTCTACAGTAAATTAAAATTTTATTTTCTTCGTGTAGAAAATGTAATCTAGAGTTACCTTCTCATTCTGGGACAGTATTTTTGATTCACTCTAATTTTAATGTTGGATTACGTCACTCTATCAGTTGCCTTTCGTGGATGAACAAAGAAGCAAATCGACTAATTTTTCTTCCCTTCTTTGGTAACATTTTCCGGATGACCGCGGATAATTCCTTGGTTCCAGAATCGCGGAGAATACCTTCATACCTCCATAACCTGCTTGTCTTTGTACTGCGTGGGAGCGAGGATGATCTTCGAAAATAATATGATCGTGCGAGAATCAAAACAAAATTTATTCGATTAAAAATACTGTAACATTTCAAGCACTTGATCAAACATAGCATTATCAATCAACAAGACATGTTATTCAGGTGCAGATCCTAGTTAGCGCTGCTCTATCTTGCTCATTTATTAACACATAACACATTTATTATCCTTAATCGACTTCTTGATCGACATTAGAATCCGTCAGTGATTTTCGTCCGGTTGAGAAAATAATTTGAGTTACCATTGTATTGTTAGTAGCGTGTTTGGGTTAACTGAAGAGTATCTCGTATTACCGTATGACAAGAATTGGATCAAGGGTATCGCGCATTACCGTATGACATGAAGTGTATCAAGAGTATCACGTAATACCGTATGACATGAAGTGGATCGAGAGTATCACGTATTACCGTATGACAAACTGCAGTAACCAAGCACCATATCGGAACGCACCTACAAAAGTAGGTAAGTAGCGTATAGCAGAAGTAATTAGAAGTTTTAACATTTAATTGGTTTATAATAGTTTAAAGGTACGAAAGCATACAGTTGACAGGAGTAATTCCCTGATTCGATTCATAAATATTAGATATCTTTTCATACATTCAGATTCATATAATAGATCTCTCTTCATATATTCCGATTCATATATTAGATAGCTTTTCATCCATTCAGATTCATGATTTACATCGCTCCCTCTTAAGTCCGACTTCACATGAAATAATTATTACGAACATTAGCAGGGAAGCCAATACTAATAAAGTTTATCACACTGAGTTGAAGTCTATGAATCAAAACAAACCATTTTGCGTCCGAAACACCCTTGTCAACACAACAATGAAAACCGCGTAGTGCAGTTACAAAATGAGTGACGAATCCTTTAGTTCAGTCGAGAGCTGCCTCAACAGGAGGATGAAGCATGTAACAAAACTAGAGCGTTGGTTACAGGTAAGAGTTGTTGGAAGTTTACAATAGCCCTGCCCCGAACTATCATAACAAATCAAGCACGCATAGAAACGACGACAGATGATACCAGAAAAAGTCATCCCAAAGCTTAATCATAACAAACAGAATATAATAATAATATATTTCACTTTCATTTGTTCTAATAACTACCAGTAAATAAATAATCCTCCATAAGTATAAACAATAAAGCTGGTTTATAGAACTTTTCGATGCACGATTATGTCCATTGCTCTGTACTAGAATAAATTGCTACTTCTGAACTTGAGAGGATCGTTCAATTCACTTAGGTATAAGCGACGAGTATTTCACAATACTCGGGGTAATTCTCTGGTTTGACACGAATATCCTATTAAAAAATATCAGCAACTTCGAATTTCCAGACGGGCTGGAAATCATTCGATTGCCATCTGCACGTATGTAAACCCGTAATTAATTAATTTAAAAATTCGTCATGCGTGATCGCATTGAGCAGCATATTTCAATGAAGAGCGCGCCAGGAGATAAAACAGATATTTATGTAATAAATTAAAAATGAAAACAGTACCAAATTAAATTCACACCCTTCATAAAAACATACCTACATAAATCTATTGTAAAAAAAGGATATGAGTAGCAATAAAGTGCGTCCTTGTCTCATTTGAGTTTAATGCTGATCCTGTGGTATGCGTGGCTGAGAACACCCCTCAGGTTCCAAATGTTCTCAAAGTTCTCAGGCTGCGTGTTGTAGTTTGAGTCGACGGCTTTAACAACCAGATCAAGACTCTTGGTGCCCTTCGGCACCTCGACCTGAGTTTTCCACAGGGTCCAGCCCCAGGCCTTTGGATGCTCGGCTGCGTCGGATTCTAGCGTCTCCACCTCGCGCCACGACGCTCCACCGTCGCTCGAAATGTCCACGCGCACGATCTTGCGCCCACCACCGCTGTATGCGTACCCTGCAGGAAACAGGCATTAGCCTACACTTTTAGCGTGTAGGAATAGCCTTTGCTTTTAGCCGTGTAGGAATAGCCTCTACTTTTAGCAGTATAGGAATAGCCTATACTTTTAGCCGTGTAGGAATAGCCAATAACTTTAGCGTATAGGAATAGCCTATACTATTAGCCGTATAGGAATAACCTATACTTTTAGTTGTATAGGAATAACCTATACTCTTAGCCGTATATGAATAGCCTATACTATTAGAAGTATAGGAATAACCTATACTATTAGCCGTATATAGGAATAACCTATACTTTTAGCCGTATAGGAATAGCCTATACTATTAGAAGTATAGGAATAACCTATACTATTAGCCGTATATAGGAATAACCTATACTTTTAGCCGTATAGGAATAGCCTTAATTATTGACATACATAAGTAAGCTAATACTATCCGTTGGACGCGGCAGGAAGATAAGACTCACCCTTGACATTAATCTTGCCGTCAACAAGAGTGACAGTTTCACCGTCGCCAGGGTCGCATATGGCAGACACAACAGGCATCTCCTGGATGGCGGGACTCTTGCTGAAGTCCACGGTGTCCCAGTCCACATTGGGGGCGAAGCCTTTGTAGTCATTCTGCTGCCAGTGAGAGTCCGACTCTACATCAGAAACGATGATGCGACCTGCGGCAAAATAACTGAAATTACTGAATTTATTATATACTAATATTTCATTCTTATAACAATGCATTGTACGTGGCTCCTTCAATCTAAAGAACTACAGTATGTTATTCACATGGTACTTCAAAAGCTTAATACATGCAAAATTACAATTCCTTCAATTGCTAAGTATCGGTTACCAACAATATTGAAAATAGGCACGTAACAAAAGAAAAAATACGTTTTTCTTGTTATCTTGGCTGTTAAGTGTTTATAATGCATGCCAATGCCGCGTTATATAATTCAAATGTTCATTTATGAAATAAACATCAAAAATATGCGAAAGTTCCTCAAACTCATTGAAAGTGTTTTTACATCACAAATGGCGTCGTGAGATTGCAAAAAATGCCACTGAACATCACTGGCCCGCCCAGCTCTCACCAAGCCACTTGACATTCCTGGCCCCAACTACGCCGGGCACGATGACTCTGACGGGGTAGCCATGGTCCCGGGGCAGAGGCTCGCCGTTCATCTCGTACGCAAGGATGACCTCCCCGATGCGCTCCACTGCCTTCCACAGCGGGATGCTGGCTCCGAATGGGTGACTTGTGGGGTCAAGGTCCAGGCCTTCAAACTGTTAACAACAACCATAGATAATTATAATTATCAGCTTGCGTGGTAATGAGAAAAAGTGAAAAAATAGGCCAACTTACGATATTTTGCTAAAATGATAAAACCGTAGAATAACTGACTTTTTATTAATAGAATTTTACTGCGTTACCTTGTACAACGCATCACCTTGTTAGGCGAGCTATCATATTGCTGCTGTAGGCAAGCAAGCTATCGTGCTTCAGGTATCTAATTCAGCTTGGCTTCACAGAACATTCCCCAAGCGTTTCCATCAACCTTCAAACTCGCGAACACTGTAATAAGATCTAGAAAAACTCCAAACTCCTAATCCTCAAATACAGACGACACAGCAAGCCATGTTCACCTACACGTGTATTTACTGGGTTCACGTGGTTCACCTGCACGTGGCAGGACTGGGTTCACGTGGTTCACCTGCACATGCTTGGACTGGGTTCCCGTGGTTCACCTGCACATACTTGGACTGGGTTCACGTGGTTCACCTGCACGTGCTTGGCCTGGGTTCACGTGGTTCACCTGCACATGCTTGGCCTGGGTTCACGTGGTTCACCTGCACATGCTTGGCCTGGGTTCACGTGGTTCACCTGCACGTGGCAGGACTGGGTTCACGTGGTTCACCTGCACAGGCTTGGTCTGGGTTCACGTGGTTCACCTGCACATGCTTGGCCTCTGTGTTGGTCTCGTCGAGGCCTGCTGCTCTGAGGACGTCAGAGAGGCGCGCGCCCGTCCACGTGGCGTTGCTGATGGCCGCCGCGCCCCAGCTCAGGCCCTTCACTGGCCGCACCTGCAGCGTTAAATCATTTATGCATTATGTATGTATGCATTGAGCATTTATGCCATGAGCGTTATGTCAAACGCTCAACGCCATACATTAAACTGATCGATGATATGATGAATGAAATGCATTCAAAATGGCTTGAGAAAGAAATGTGCAATCAAATGGTTAACTAAATTCAACATTAAATGTTGAATAGAATATATTAAAGATAAAGGTAAGATAATGTTTTGTGAATATTGCTTGAATTATAAGTAAATTTATGAGGATTATTAATTGAAAAAACACGTTCAAAATAAGCATAAGAGAATTAGCGTGATGACTACAGTAGCAAAAAAATATAACTCAGTACTCACTGCAGTGAGTGACAGAAAGCGCATTTTCTCGTCGACGAAAACGTGAAGTCACGGACGGACAGACGGACGGACGGACATGGCGAGCACAATATCGCTTTTTTTCTCCTATATGAGAAAATGCGCTAAAAAAACATTATACCTTGACCATCTCAGAGCGCCGGTTGCCCCCGCACTGCACGGCTGCCGTGATCGTGTGTCGGGGGAACTTCTTTATGTCGGCTAGGGAGAGGCTGAGCTCCCGCACACCCAACCCAGACACCTCCAGCGTGTACTCGTTCTCCTTCACATCAGGCACTGGCAGGTGGTTGCGCACAAAGAACAGCTCGCTGCACACAATGTGCATGTGAATGTCAAGAGTAGTAGAAAGAACAGCTCGCTGCTCATAATGTGCACGTGAATGTCAATAGAAGTCAAGGATAGAACTTAGGTGTCAATACCACTCTGGTTATGGTATCGTCCGGTTACTACGATACCAATACCATGGTGGTTTGGACGTAATAAGAGTCTGTGGTTCGACTTTATGTACAGAAGAGAATTAATTGATTTGATATTTTCCTGTATTCTAAATACGGGCGAAAATTCAGGAATGTCATATAATAGTTAGCCTACATTTGTTGTAAGAACAATTTTTTGGTTTCCATAGACGAAGCTCTAAATTAGTCCCGTCATATAATAGTTGACTGAAAAAATCAGGTGGATCAGTTCATTTGAATTGGATGAGCGAAGTGAAAAAAAGAATAATTGTAAGCATGTCTACATGTTTGCCAACCAGATGAATTATTTGGATCCCAGTTGCAGCGGCATGCAAGGCAGAGCATTCTTTTTCCAGAACTTCTGATGCATCTTCGATTTTTGAAAGCCTCTAAAATAGCTTCACATTTTTCAGCATAGAAACAGATTCATGTCATCTATCCAAAACACATAGAATAACAGCAACCATACCAACACATATTTCAATTAATTTCTTTCATGTCTTAAACTAAAAGCTCTAATTATCAGACGTGGAACTTGACTTGACGAACGATTAAATCTCGGACTGCAGTACAAGTACTTGAGTTATACAAAATCAACATCAGTGAGGGGCAGGGAAAATGTCAACAGCTGCTGCAGACTGTGCCTGACTTGGGCGTGATGAGATGCTCGACGAGCAGAGAGAGCGGCGGCTCGCCGTTAAATGGAGTTTTGGAGGCAGGTTTGAGGGCCACGTGTCGTCGTGGCTCCAGGGCGTACGGGTCGGTCATGTTGGCCGTTGACACGCCCACATCGTCCTCGCGCAGGTTACCTGCATTCATCAACAAAATGATTAAATATCAAGTGCAACTATCATGAAAAACTTGCATCAGCTATAAACTGATGTTTGCTTGAACCTCGTAACGCTGCACAATTTTACATAATAATTGTACTTACTGTAATGACAATTGTTTCTTATCAACTGGATGAAGGTTGAATTATGACTATTGCGTAAGGCCTCTAAAGGATCTCAGTACCATAGAACAATATTTGTATTTGCAACGTTTTAAATGATATTTCTCTTAGTAAGGCAAAATTTCTGCAAAACATTAGGACGTTGAACTCCAAACAGTACAGTACCAATAACTCTTCAAATAAAAATAATAGAAGCAAGAGAAAAAGTATTCAAATGAACAACGCTCTGAAGATTCTACTACAAGCAACCACGAGAAAAGCGTGAAGTACAGTTTTTCATCACTATTAGTGAATAATTTTCAGTAGGTACGCAGATTTTCATCACCTTCCCTACCTATGGTAGTAAACTAGTCAATAAGTTGCATACTGAGTGGCATAGACATGTGACATTGTGTATTCCATTTGATTACAATAGTGTCTTGTTTAAGGAACTAAAGGACTGAGAACATGGAGACATGGAACGTCATGTGGTTCAGCGAGTAAGAAACTCTTATGTTAACTATGTTTCAAAACAATGGGTGGTCGATTAGAATGTAATGAATAAAACTGCATGGGAATATTTTCTTGAATTTATTGTTTAAGTACGGATTTATTGACAGTACCTCTATGTTAAAAATTAATGAAATTAAATTGTTCAAAAACGTGACATCTTCTGACTTAGTCATCTATGAGATATGACTAATGACTAAGATATGACTGCTAATGTAAGGAGATGAATGAAAGTAATATTGCACAAATTTGTTCACGTCATTGTAAAAGGAAACTACACACTAAATTCGTATATGCTTTACCATCTTTATTCAACAATCAACCTTCCTATCTTCATTCAACCCATCTCTGTAATGATTATTATTATTCACCAATTCTGTAGGTCTCAAACAACTCCAGGACATCAGCTCGTTTGTGCACAGCATAGAGCGTCCAGAACGGCTCTACTGAACCGCCAGCACCGAGAAGAATTTTGTCTCCACCTGAAAGGTAAAATTCAAAGAAAATATTGCATTTATGCATAATCAAAGAACATTTGTACACATATGTTATCAATAAAATAGCTTTTGATGCAAAACTTGCAGCTGTGGCATAGTATAAATATAATTGCACATTAGGCAGAAGTTAAAATTTTTGAGAAATTTCGAGCATCGCATAGGCTGCATGTCAGCTACTATGATTTAAAGCTAGAGATAGAATCTCTAGAAAATCAGAGGGGCAACATTTGTTCATCTTTTCTGAAATATAAACCGTTCCAGTTAAAAATGTACCAACCAGGATGATGTGAGATAAAATCTGTGATGTCATAAACGCCGTTGTTGAAGCAGACCCAAACACGGTCATCAACACTCGCATGTTTGGCCACGTCATCCAGAGAATACTCAGGCAACCCAGGTTTCCTTACACCGAAGCGTTTCTTCAGTTCTTCATCAATCAACACAGGGGCTTCAGCTGAAAGCAAATATTTAATATCAACAAAAACAATAAATCTAATGAACAGTTACAACTTTTTTCCAGATTTATTAGGTGTTAATGGCCATATCCCGTCCATTTCTTCATATGAGGAAGGTATGAACAGTTTCTTCTAGTAATTTGAATAATATTACTGCATAAAGCATCTTAAAGTCACAAATACAAACATAATTTGTGAAGGTGAACCTTTCAATCCATTAATTATTTTTACTCAGCAACTATTGATTTGTGGCATGGCCAAAGGTCCCCTCTAATTTAAGGGGAAAGTCTGATTGACAGTAACATTTGCATATTAATAATTATATTTATCATGATCTACATAATTATTATATATCAATGTATTCTAAATATTTAATTTTTCCCAATAAATATTTGATTTATAACACCTTTGAGTTTGTTGAAATCAGCAGAGCTAAACGCCCAAGCAGTAGCCACAGCTCCTCCAAATACGGCAATGGCTGTGCCATATCCAGCCTTCCTGTTCCATCCTCTTTTTTGTCCATCAGAGCCGTGATTTGCATGCCCGTGGAGTTTATTACAGTGTTGTCTAGAGTGCAGGCAGCCATAGAAAGAAGTTGGCAAGGAAGTCCAATGAGCTCCACTCAATGCAATTGCAACTCTGTAATAAGGAAAATTGTATAGCACATTGATATAGTAAGCAATAATTTTGCAGTAGAAAATGCTAGTACCATAAAAAAAAATAAAGGGCAGATCGGGATGAGCCAAAAAAAAAAAATAAAGGGCAGATCGGGATGAGCCAAACAAAATAAATTTATTTAAGCAAAAAATAATACTTGACATATTAACTATATTGAACTAGGTCACACATGGTGATTACACCATGTAATGTTAAGTTGTTCATACCTGAAGGAGTAAATTTAACATCAAACCCTTGTCATTGCCAATTGTTAGTGTTATTTGTACTTGAGCCCAGTAACTTGAGTTACTGCCAATAGTCAATGGATTATACATGACAGTATTACTGAGAAAAACATACTTTTCCCAAAAAAAGTTTAAAGTTGTAAACTTTTTATGTGAACAAAATATGGACTAGGTCCATGGTTACCATTACTAATTCATTATTATGATATTAAATTATTCAGACAATTGAGGAAATTCAATACTCAATACAGCATTATCACTCCCAATTTGAGAATATTTTTGCAATATATTTCTTTACTTGAAGAACTAAATGAGCTTCTGCAGTCAACAGCAGCTGATGGCTTTTGAGTTAGCTGTGGCTCACTGTATCCAACTTGAACTTGAATCAGATACTATCCTTATAATATATTCATACAAAAATAAATCATTGCCAATGTAATTGCTGAAGGATATAATGTTGCATGAGAAAGAAACAACCTTAATGTCTGCATTGCTGACAATTCAAACTACTTTGAACTTTATTATGAATAATATATCTCTCAAAATTTATTATTTCACTGGTTACATAAATGCTCATTTTATACAAAAATTTTTACATGACAAGAAGAATTTCAAAACAGCTTTTTTTTAGAGAAGAATAAAGAACTTTAAATCCCTAAATGGGCTTAGTTTAGTCTTTGTATATATAGTTCTGTTAATTGTTTCTGGTATATTGATAAGTTCAGAGGCTTGGATGAATATTACCCATAAAATGGACAGAGTTATTTAATGCTAATGAACAGGCATGTACAACAAATTCATCACATGCTATTATATATGCTCTTTAACGTCAGTAACGTTAGAATATTTATTTGGATAAATAGACTATTCCCTTTGGTAAATCATCTATTTACCAAATATTGTAAAAAACTTACATAGGTACTTATCACTCAAACATTTTGTTTGGCCAAAATCACATACATATATCATTTCTTTGTATTGAAAATTCTGCAGCTCAAAAGTCCTGTATATACATTATTTAAGATGGAAAATTTGGGGCTTTAATGTACAGAAATTATTCCAAGAAAATGTTAACTTTCATGGTTCAGTCCAAATTTTTGGGGCCCAAAGAGTATTGGTTAAAGCTTTCACAGTTGCAATCATATCAAATAACAATAAAAATGAGTTTCATTGACAAAAATAAAAAAGAATCTTATTGAGTATTAACTTGTTTCTAAAGTGACAATAAAAAATTGGTCTTACTATTTATATTAAAATTATTATGTTAATATGTTTGCGCAAAGCCTAGAAATGTCCAGCTCAAAAAATGAGTCTGTGACTCAAAAATGTCTTCCCATGGCTTAGAAAATGGATTAATGATCCAAATTTTTTTCAAAGCTGAAAAATTTATGAACTTCATAAATTCAAAAATTCAGTCATGGCTCAGAGACTGGAAAGTCCCATACCATAGATACTTTCCATACTATTTGACAAAATAGACTCAAATTTGATTTCTTTATAAGTTAAAAAAAACAATTGTAATTCAAGCCAATAACTTTGTGCAGGCAACTTGTAAATGCAACAACAGTTTCAGGAAAAATTGTCAAGCCATTACAAGCCATGTGGTAAACTTGAAGAATAGCAATTGACAGAAGATTTATGACTGTATGCCTATACCAATCAAGATTAGAAATTTCCTACTTAATACTTATTACTCAAATGTTATGGCTCAAAAGTGACATTCAATATTTTTTAAATCTATGAGGTTTCATGGATCCAATTTGGGTAAGTTTGAATTCATTTTTAGATGAATTAGTAAAATAAGATTATGTAAGTGATCACTCTGTTTCTCACATTGGAAAATTGAACAAAAGCCAGTGAATGGGCAAAAATCCTGTGCTTTCACCTATTTTTATGAACCTAGACTAATATATGTAATTATAGGAAAAATTCATATTTTTCCTATAATTACATTTATCTTGCATACCTATATACATGCTTAGATAAAATAAAACTTCTTCATGATTTTTTATTTAGTTAGTTTTTGATAATAATCCACTAATTTGAGAAAATGGTAGAAGTGATTCTATTCTGAAAGAAAAGAATGAGTTAACAACTTAACATCAATGCCACATAAGTTGCCGCTCAGCACTCAGCAGAAACTATACATACCTTACCACTCATCACTGAAAACCATATGATATGAACTGGTCAGTCAATTTGGAATATTGGGCAGACATTTCCTATAATCACCAGTAAACTATCAAATCAATTTTTGAAAATTGCAGGTAAAAATAATCAGTGTTTCTCATTTTTTCACTGAAGAAAATGGGGATAAAGCCTTAAGAAGAGGTGAAATTGGCCAGATTCATGGACGTTTTTGTCCAATTTATGGGTGTCTTCTGCCCAATTATCCACTTTGGGTGGTCAGAACTACTATTTGAAACAATTACATAATAACTATAACTACCATTTCAATTGTGCTAGTAAAATATGGTTGTTTTGTTTATATAATATATAGTTTCCATTGAAGGCAGGTGCGTGCTGCTGCTGGCAATGTTATGAGCATTGACAGCAAGATAGGTAAAAATAAATTCAAACTCCAGCTTACCTTTTAGAGACAGCAAGCATGGTTATTTATATATTGTCCTACAAATTACAATTGTTCTATAATTTCAAATTGAATCTGGCAAATGTTTCCTTCCAAAATAAACACTAAAATACCTAGTGAATAGAAATTACTATGAATGGAGCTAATTTAGTAGTGCAAGTTGTTGCATTGACAGGCTGTTAGAAAGTTTTTTCATTGTCTTGCAGATTTGTATATTGTAATCAATATGGGTCACAATTAAATCCTGGAGGCATTGAATTTTTTACTGCTTTTTAGAGCTTTAGGTTTACAGGTAACAACTCCCAGACGAAGCACAATTTCAAGAAATCACAACTTATACTTTTGTAAGAGCACTTTACTTCATTTTAGAAGTCAAAGAGTTCTTCTTCCTCGTGAGGTGTCCATGCTGATGCTGAGTGGACTTAAAGCCTCAGGTCTGCCTGATGAATGACCATTGGGCCTGACAGCTTGTTGCTACAGTTTTTAGCCTCTTGTATTGGACAGACCATCAATGCTCTCTTGTGAGTGATCAGTTCGCATGTGCTCAATACAGATAATTTGGAGTTTTAAAAAGACAAAATAAGCTTACGTATTTGATACAAAGTGCAAGTAAATAATATAAAATTGCTTGAAAAACCTCCCTACATACTCCAAACAGTCAAAAGTTATGAGTTGGTAATGAATTTGCAAACAATAATAGCATATAGCACTGCATTTAGGCAAATGAATTATTTATGAAGGGTTTTCAATACATTTTTTTTCAATCCCCAGTGCTTTAATACTAATAAAGTGACAGCTAGTTAAAGTTAAATTAGTGCATGGGAATGTGAATAAGTGTTTTTAGAGCGAGTTGATTTTTCATGGTCCTGCTTATCTGGTGCTTATAGTGATAGTCTCATATTGACCTGCTGGCTGCCACTCACCCATGCTGGTGTCGGACCTACTGTACATCATTAGATGAGCCTGCTTTCTGGCAATGAAGACTTCCTTGCTGACCTGTCACAATGTCACAGACCTGCTAAGATTATCGATTATCCTGGCTCTAAGATAGGTAAGTAAAGAGAACACTTGTGGGATTTTATTTGTTTGTATTTTAGAGTTTGTGGTGTCCAATTTATTGATATTTGGCAGCCCAATATTTATTTGCGAGTTCTAAATTTTTGAGTGCAGTGCACATCCTAGCTAGTTTACAGCCTGTAGCTCTTATTTCTAGTCAAAATCAATTTTCATGATTGCAAAATTTTCATAATGGCAACTTTTGGGAAGCTTGAAGATTTGAGTTAAATAAAAAAAATAATTAGTGTCAATCAGTTTTGTATCCTTGACAAGTTGATGACTGACTAATTCTTATATCGAGATCTTTTGGAGACAGATCAAAGCAGAGTTTCAACTTGTTGTGAACACCAGAATTGTGAATTGAGGTTGAGTAGATCCTGCATAGCAATTCAAGATTTAATAACACTCTTGACATGCATCTCAGTCCTTAATTTTAATAGGGAAATGCTTGTAAAGAATATCCCTTTAAATGGTGTTTTACAGAATACAGTTTTGCATCAGATAGATTAACATGCATTCATGTGTTTCAGGGGTTTATTAGTTGAATAGATCCTAGGTTTCTGGGTTTCCCTGTCCCTGCATCTTTGCAGATTGCAGAGTGGCCAATGTGGAGCATATTGGGCCAGTTCAGAACAGAATTACCAACACAATTCTCCACTGTATCAGGCATGGAATATATCTACTTGGCAAGCTGCGACTGAATTTTTGGAGCTGTGGTTTTATGAATTTGCCAGCCGTGTTTCCATTTCTTTGAGCCACGATTTGATTTCTCCGAGCCGTGAATTCCATATCTCAGTCATTAAAAGCCATTTACAAGCCGGCAGCCAGCAGCCACAAACTTTTTACCAAGTCCCAACCAAGCACATGTTACCCCTAAATAGCCCTAATCTTTAATTTTACCCTAAAAACAGTCAATACTGACATTTTTCTTCACTAGAGTGGCAACTGATCATGCAATAATGCAGTCTGCCTTCTCTGATGTGACCGCAACTACGCAATCTGTAAGGAAACGTTTTAGATTGACTTGTTGTTTTGTTGTGCAGGATATTTTGGCAGGATTGTTGAAGTAGTGTGGATTGCGGAAATTGAAAATTTCATTAAACTAAGTTTGCGGAGTGCAAATTGTGATTTCTTCAATCAAACAAAAATACATGACATTAGAGCCACAAGATTTCATACCTACTATAATTATATGATAGCAGAGCCATGATATTTCACAAAAAAATAGGACTTTTCCAGCCCTGCACTGTATATTGCCTGTTCCTAGTGTTCTTACTGTTCAGTCTCCTCCACTTCTGGGCATTGGCCCAGCCCTCGGGGGCCCCACACCCCTGTTAAGATCACCAAATGCTTGTTTCCTTGGCTCAAGTTGCTTTGCCAGTTTGCCTCAACTTGAAACTGAAAGTTATTCTCAACTCGACTTGTTAATGAATCACAGACATCAACATTTAATATTTTATTACAACATCAGCTTCTAAAATTACGATACGCATTCAATCGTTCCATTGTTCACCATGTGTTCTGCTGCAACTTCTGCACTTCAGCTTTCAAAGGAGACCCCACCCTAAGTTCCCAACCAGAGTGAAGACTGAAGAAGAGTCATCCATTCCAATCCAACTGACTAAGAAGTATCAATGACAACTTGACCTCACTGCTTAGCCTACAAAGCCAAAATATAAACAATTTTTTAAAAATTTCAACAGGTGGCCAAGGAAAAGTGTGTGTGTGTGCTTTGTTGAAGGTGAAGAGATGACCTCACTCAGGCCAACTGTCACACCTGGACATGGCATTAATTGCTGGCTTTACAAATTTTCCACTTCCAGCTACAGTCAAATTTTTTTTGCTTGTAGGAGGCAGCTGTTATTTCAGGATTTCCTCATATTATTTCCAGTTAGATGGCATCATGGCAAGACCAAGGAAAAGGAATGTACAACCGGGGTGGATAGCTAGAGGTCAGCATAGCTCAAGTCCACAGTGTGATTCATATACCTTCCCAAGCATAATGCAGCCAGCATCTTCACAGCTTTCAACACAGAGCACCCACCACAACAGCGCTGTTCAGTCACAGGCACTGTTTTCAGTGTTTCACAGCACCAGAGCGCAGCAGGCCCTACCTACAACGCCTTACCCCAGCCCTACTCCTAACCTAACCTAATGTAAGGCATTGTACGTACATAGGGCCTGTTGCATGTTGCGCTATGGGCCTCCGGCCCGTTGTGTTCCGGCGCTGTGAAGCAGTGGCTGTGTTTTTCAAAGTTGGTGCGGTTGTTAGGGGCCACATGGTGGCATATGAATAAGTAAGGAGTTGTAAATTGCATGCATTAATTCTCTTCTCCTTTTTTTATCATCCCCAGTGTTTAAATACTAGTGAGATGGCCAGCTAGCCAGTTTAGTTTTCCCTGATTGTGCTCAACGGTGGAAGTGTAAATGAACCTGCATTCTGGGATTCTGGCCACGTTGACATCCTTGATGAACTGCCACCTACCTGCTAGGACCATTGCTGCTCTTTTATAGGCAAGTCCAGGGAACACTCTTGCCATGCATCTTAGTCCTTATTTTTACTAGTAAACTCTTTTGTAAATATCATCCTTTTTGCATTGAGGTTTTAGAACTGTACATTGGGTAGGATAATGTTTCTGGGTTCAAGTGTTGGATAGGGATTTATGTTCTTCTGTCCTGGCATTTTTGCAGAGCAGCAAATTCCAGAGCCAATCCAGGAGTGAACCAGAGAGCTGAGCTGGGCAAATCCGGGGCTAGTATTTGGGCCACTGCTGCGCAAGCTCAAGGAGTCTTGGGTTGGCCTGGACCACATGCCATGAAGGTGTTGAGCCAGCCTAGAGCCATGTGCACATCAAGCCAAGCACCCTCTAGTTGAATCCTTGCTGTCCATCACTGGTAAGACCACTGCCTTCTAGCTTCCTCTGCTCCTCAGTACTGCTTCCTCCTGACAGATATAACCAGGCTGGACACAAGACCAATTCCAAGACTGTTATTTCCTGTTTTATTTTTGGTTGTTTCCTCTTCATTATTCTGGCCCAGTTGAGTTAATTTAATGTTCACCATTTATTCAGTTTCTGCCAGTTTGGGCTAATGGTTTTCTTTTGATTTCACATGGTAGGCTCATCCCACCACCCATAAGCCCCAGACTGTCCCATCACTAACATGTTAACCTTCACCATTCATCTTCATGTGCCACTATTTTATTTAATATATTTTTTGCTTGGTTCTGCTTGGTCTGTCCTCCTGAGTTCCAGTTAATTGTTTCTCCGTTAGCTGGTACTATACTGGCCGGTCTGCTGACCTTTAGATGGGGCGACCCCCAACATGGTGATATGAGTCACACACAGCTCATTGATCTGAGGCTATGTGTAGATATTGCATGCTGATGGTGTGCGTTGGGCCCAAGCCTGCTTACAAGTCAATTTTGGTGGTTGCAGGTTGTAGGTGAAAAAGAAGTTGCATGATGACTGCCTGTAACACCTGGACTCAGCAATAGTTATTTAGTTGAAGTCTTCATCATGTTTCTCTCAATTTCATTTTCTTCTTTGCTGGCATGAGCTCTCCTTGTTGCCAACTGTCACAAAGGGAACCGGCGCGCAAGCCCCTGTTTGTCCGCGCCCCTTTGCGTTTTGTCTTTGGTACTTGCATTTTCATACTTACATGATCTCTCAGGGGTGTTATGAGGGTAAAAGTTTTTTATTTTTGTTTATAACTTGGTAAAAACTGACCGATTTTTTCAAACTTTTTCACTAGATGTGCACTGTTTTTCTGCAACTTTTTGTGTAGGTTTTTATCCAAAAAAGTTTATTTTTTTATAGAAAATGTTGAAAAACCAAAAAAAAATTCAAGGTGTTCTCGCACTTGTATCTCTGGTCTCAGGCTCACAATTTGATTCAAATCATTTTCCCTATATTCTTTGAGTCACGATGAATATTTTGATATGTAATATGCCCAGATAAAAAATTGTTTTATATTTTAATTATTCAATTTTGTATAATAAATTTAGCCCTTTTCCTTTTTTTAGTCTATATCTTTGTTGAACGACTTGCAAAAATTATGAAACTTTTTCATACTTTTTCTATGATTCATGACAAACATTTTGATGTATGACGTGTGTGTGTAAAAAATTATTTAGTATATAATTTTTCCACTTAAACTTTTTTTTGGTTTGGCGCCATATCTTTAGTAATATACCACAGAACAAATTGAAATTTTGCACTAAACTGCCTACGTGCATTGTAAACATGGAAATATATTCAACTTATTTTTAGAA